CAGTCAATCAAGTATGGTTACAACTATATCACATTTTACCTTAATTAAAACAATTGTTTTAAGGTAGTTAGTACAACGGTAGTTGCTATATACAAATACTACAAGTACATCGTTATTATTTTCCCATTACATTCAAATTGTGATCTTCTCACATAAACGGTAATGTAAACTATATTCTTGGTAATGATTAGGGATGAAAGTGGGTCCAAACCCGGACCGGATGGACCCGGACCCGGAAAACCCGGAACCGTTTAACGGGATTTTGTAGAACCGGAAACCGGACCGGTATATAGGAACCGGTTCCGGTTCGGTTCCGGGTACGGTACCGGGTAAAGTGGGTCTAGAACCGGAAAACCCGGAAACATCAAAGTGGGTAGGTTGGAACCGGATAAAGTGGATTTATAACCGGAAAAACCGGAATTTTTTTGGTAATTACTTACTACTTAGTGGGTTGAACTTTGAAAATTTTCATATTGATATCCCAACTTTGGGGGAGTGTAACTCATTGAATATGAAACCAAAATTGACAAAATTATAGTCTAAAATCATGTACAAACTCTAAACTACACTCTGGAAAAAACCGCATGTCAATCCGACTTTAAACGAATGAGATATTCATGTGTTAACATTTTCACATAATACAAAGTACAAAAACAAATAGCTGAAAAGTTGAAAATTTTCAGCTTTGATATCCCGACTTCAGGGGACTGTAAATCATTGAATATTAAACCAAAAATGACAAAATTATAGTCTAAACTAATGTACAAACTCTAAACTACAAGTTGGAAAAAAACACATGTCAATCCGACTTCAAACGAATTAGATATGCGTGTTTTAAAACTTTCACAGAATACAAGAAAACTGAAAAACTAAAAATTTTCAGCTTTGATATCTCGACTTTGGGGGACTGTAAGTCAATGAATATAAAACTAAAAATGACAAATTTATAGTCTAAAATCATGTACAAACTCTAAAATACATGTTGGAAAAAACCGCATGTCAATCGGAGTTGAAACGAATGAGATATGCATCTTTTAAACTTTTCACAAAAACCGGTTCCGGCCCTAAAAGTGGTTCCGGTTCCTAACACCGGTTCCGGTTTTTAGACCCGGTTTACCCGGACCCGATGGACCCAAACCCGGATTACCCGGAACCCGGATAAAGCCAATTTTTAAACCCGGAACCGGAACCGGTTCTATATATTCCGGTTCTAACGGTTCTGGTTCCGGTCCGATTCCGGTTCCGGTCCGGTTTTCCGGTTCCAAATCTCATCCCTAGTAATGATAGTCATAATTGGTAAAATTACACACTTTTACAAACGAATAACATACATAACATTTGGGCCTTGGTAGAAGGCTACTTTTTAGTAGAAAATATAGGATTTTCTAGGAGATACAAACATTTACTACAAACACTTACAAACATTTACATCAAACATTTACAAACACTTTCATACAAGCAATGACACTAAAATACTTATGAACTCACCAGCTTTAATGTTGATCTATGCTTTCAAAATAACTTGTATTCTCAGGTCACCAGTAGACAGGTACCGATGACCAGGTTTTGAGAAGACGGAGCTTTCAAGACTCGTCTATATTTTGATTATTCATTTTTTGTGTCTTATAAACTATACACAGAACACACTTGTATTAAATTATACTATTAATGCAATGGATGATGTTGTTGCTTGTTTACTATTATGCATTGTTGTGATACTGTATATAACGTCCTCCATCCCAGAACGTTTCCACCGTTCCGGTTTTGGGGTGTGGCACTGACTAATCAGTACCAACATGCAAATCTATAAGCTCATAAAAACAGACATACAAAGGCATCTCTCCTAGATCCTTATCCCTAATCTAGCATGCGATTCACAGATTCACAATTCCAAACATATCATAAACATGTATGGGTATTTTGGGGTAACTTACTTGAGCTCGGCTGATTGCATGCATCACACCCTTTTTCTCTTTTAGAAATTCCTTTTGTAAAAACGCTTCTCTTTTGAAAATTTCTACCAAGTCCTTAGTTTGAGTTCAAACACACCCGAGAGTGTGCCCGAATCCCTCAAACCAAGGCTCTGATACCAACTTGAAACATCCCAAAATATGGTCCCAAATTTTTCATTTTTAATAATAGATAAAATAGTATTTTCTAATATTATCCAAACATTTCAAATAAAAACCAATGTATCAATTGCCATAAAATCATAGTAAAACATCATAAGCGGAATCCTAATTGTGTGTGCGATAGAGTCAACCTGAGCTCTTCCATTTGCAATCGGAAGTACCTGAAACATAAACTGAAAACAATAAGCACAAAGCTTAGTGAGTTCCCCAAACTACCACATACCAAAATTATCACATAACGGGCCCCACCCAAAAAAGATACGGGCCCCGCCCAATGATATATGAGCCCCGCCCACACTCGTAACACGTATACAAGCACACACAAGTATCAAACAGACAACAATTATATTAACATAATCATCAAGGTTCGACCCTGGTGCCTTAGACCCGTTAAACCCAGTGAGGAAAACTCACCTCAAATACTGAACGATAGCTGGACAGGTCCTGACTCCGAATATTGTCTCAACTCAACCCCTAAACAGAAACAATTCCTTAGATACAATCCAAAATGCCCCAAAACCCCTTATTGGTCAAACTTGGTCAAAGACTAAAGTCAAAAGTCAAGGTCAACGGTCCGAGTTGACCCAACACGTTGTGTCGTTCTTCAACACGCCGTGTTTCTACATCCACTGCAAGATCGGGGAAAAACCATACCAACTCACTTTGTTTACTAATGAACACATCGAGTTCGCCAGAAATCCAACAACTTAATGCATTAAGTTGTCTTCATCAAATCTAAGAGCTCCAAAGCTCAGATCTCCACCAAAATTATATCTAGAAGGGTAAAGTTTCCAACTTTACCCTTAGGAACCACCAAAATGGGTCAAAGCCTAAACCCTAGGCTCATTTTAGTGAGGGCTTAACCCATTAAGCTCTTAATCTCCAAAGACATAGTCCAGAAATGCAGATCTGACACCCAAAGGCTGGAAAATCACGTGAAGTTGTCAACTTTACGTTCATGCATGCCAAGAAGAAGCTCTAGAGCTCAAGAAGGGCTTAATAAAGAACTTAATGCATGAATGAGACCTATAACCTAATAAAGCTTTCAAATTTAAGCCAGACGAGGCCACAAAACGACCAGATCTAAATGACAACCCATGAAACACTCAACTCCTTGGACAATCCATCAATGAGCCCAAAAATCATGATAAAACCCCAAAAGAAGAGATCTAAACAATAACAAAGCAAGGTATAAACTTGATACCTCAAAGACACTACAACAAGTGGGGAGATTTTGGATCTATAGCTTTCCCTCCAAGCTAGACACCTTCAAACTTCTAGGCTCCTTCAAAAGATTACAAAAATCAACACTCAAGGCTCTCCACAAGCTCACAGACTCAACTATGGAAGATGATACTCGATTTTAGGGTTTCTGGACAGAGGAGGATGGTAAAGAGGCCAACCAATGGACATAAGGCCTTTAAATAGGGTGCAAAACCCTAAAAATTAGGGTTTCCTTCCTAGCTGCCAACATGCCGAGTTAAGGCACCTCGACTCGCTGTGTTGGTTCATTAATCTCCGCGGCCAAAGCCATCTCAACACGCTGTGTTGAGGCTTCCAACACGACGTGTCCCAAAGAAAATATAAACAATTGGAAAATGTGTTCATACCAGAAACCAAGCGTTACATGGAGGCTCTCACGATGATAATGGTAAGTTAGGGTAGATTTGTCTTTTATGTGTTATGTAAACCTAATAAGTCATAAGTAGTTTTCCAAAGTTACAATTTGGGACTTCTATAAAACTCATTTTTAAAGACTACTCCGAAAGTTGTTTTAAAAGGTCTTTTCTAATACCCAAACACTTTTTTTAACTTATTGACAGTTCAAGAAGTCAACAAGTTAAAAGTCATTTCAAATGAATACCCAAACACCCTCTAAGGCTTGTTTTTGAGTTGGAAGACTAGTTATATGTTCTTAAGAAACTATCCCTTGAACTACCCATGGGAGCATCAAAAGAGAAAATACGCTTGTACAATAAGTTCTTATTTGACTATGTCATGGTTTGTTATCAAATGATCTACATGATTACTAAACTCCCTATTGTTGTAAACCCAATAGATCTTTGCTACATGTTGATCCAACTTAGGGATCAGACCGTGTATTTTTTTAAACCATTTCTATTGTGACCCAATCTCATAGCGAATTTGAATAGTAAAATATCATATTCATGATCTAGGTCAATTTATAAATTACAAGCCACATGTTTCACACTTAAAATCAACATTTTATATATTTATATAATTTTTATCTTTGTAGAAAGCTCAATCCAACTAATATTTTTTAGATGCAAGTTGTGATCTAAATTTGCTCGTTGTGATCTAAATTTGCTCTTTGTGATGAGAAATATGTCGTGACACTCGAAGATGAGTCATTAGTCATCGGGTAGTGTCTCTTCGTTGAGATTTCATCATTTCTTGGAAAATAAAGAAGCAAATAAAACTACATTTTATGGTCTAGTGCAGAAGTTTTTGTTCAAAACATGTCCATGACCACTGCTTGAATTGGTTTTACTAAGAGCAATTTCTCATAATTTAGGAATCACACATTCACATCGAGTCTAGTAGTCACGAAGACATTAAATCTTCTCAATTGTCGATACATCCCAACAAGTTGTGTTAATTGATTACACAATCACATGATATCCGAATGTAATTAAGCAATCTCTTTTTTCAGTTAATCTCTTTATGGAAACGTAAAAATATCCATTTAGTAAATAGCCACAAATTCATGAATCATTCTATATACATATGTTCCTTTCATTGAAAATAAGTATACAAATAGAGAGTAACACACCATTTTCTCACAACAACATCAAACTTTAAAATATAAAATAATAAGCATGTATCAAATTATATATCATTAACTTCTTAGATGGAGATGCTATATGGAACACCTTTTCCGGTGACGCCATGTTCAGAAAATGGCTTGAGAAGCTCATACGGGACTAACCCTGCGCCATATCTATTCTTCAAATTCGGATTACGGTTCCTTGAGTCTATGATACCTTCAATCTCCTTCAACCTTCCATTAAACTTTTCAAATGCAGCCTTTATAGCAGGCTCTTCCCCCCATTCAGCCTCCATGTTAGCTCCAATGTATTCTTCATCTAAAGAATGACTCGATAAAACATCCAAAACCGCCATCACTTTAGTAGCTTGAATCTTGGTAGGGAAGCAATTTAATAAAACATCTTCTGGTTTGTTTAAAAAGGTTTGCCATTCTTCTTCAGTGGGGTCTTCGTTTGGCATTTTAATTCGGGCAATGGTTGGTCTATTGGGGAAATAACCCGCATAATCATATTGACCAAAATTGACTGCTGAATGGTGGGCGGAAGATACCCACATGATTGTTGAGACAACTTTGATTAAATCTTGTTGGGTTTTGAGATTCGGCCACCATGGTTCATTTTTTTTGTCCCCATGTCCCACTGTTCGGATTTCTGTCCACCATGATTGAAGTTCTTCATCCGATTCTACAAGATTTGGTTGTGGGTAGTAGAAAGTTATATAAGCGGTGGCCCATTGTTTAATGGCATCCCATAGAAGTAGACCATCGTTTGCAAATGGGTAGTCCTCGATTGTCAGTTTTATACCATGTGGTGCACTTTCATCTTCAACGGCCATTCCCCTAATTCATTATAGAAAAATAGATTTTAATGAATACAAGGGTTTTCCTTTTTGGTAAAAAACTTGAATATAACCAAATTTTCTCATTTTTCCATTAACAATGTACACAACACTTTATTTTGTGTTATTTATACGATTTAGTATGGTTATATCATGTTCCAGAATGATCAATAATTAAACTTTTATTTGTACATGTAGGGTTCATGATTTTTTTTGTCTGTGAATTAATTGTACCATTAGTACTAATATTTATTATTAGTTAATAACAATTCATAAAAATATTTTTTATGTTTTTAATTCGATTTTTGGTGCACATAGGTCTTTCTAATCATAAAAATATTACTCCAGTTTGAGTGTGGGGCTGCAACCCGTTCGATATAAAGAAAATCTTTTTATTTATGTTGCGATTTTTGGTTTGGCTAAAGAAACATCGTTGATTTGTTTTCTATTTCGATATTTCCTTCGTGATTTTGAATTTCTAGGGTTTGGAGTTTTTCATTGAGGGTTTAATCGCCTAGATGTAAAAAAATATTTTAGTATCCTAGATGTATAGGAAATAGGTATAAAAAGCATAAAATATAATACTTTATTATCAATAGCAAATAATAAATATTAGTGCTAACGACCTAAAAAATACAAATAGATTTTTTTGGTTTAGTCTGGCTGTGTACAAATAAAAGTTTTGTAACCATTTTGAAACACCATAAATAGCAACACACAAATAATTATTTAAGGACCCTACGTATACAAGAAAAAATTCAATAACCATTCTGAAAAATAGGAAAGTTGATAGCCTAAATTCAACTTTTTCCTTTTTTTTTTTTGTTTTTTTGTTTTTTTTGTTTTTGGAGTAAGATGGGTTTTGAATTTGTTGGAAAAGATTACCTGCTAACCAAGTCATCCGGAAGTGCTTCATGATCAAACCGCCATTGGTGTGCATACGCATCAGAAGAAAGTTGCATGGAGTATTTGGCAAGAGAGAAAGATGACTCGATTATACCACCAGCATTAATGAGGGCTAGTCGAGCTAGGCTATTGATCTCCATTGTATACCGAAGATGAGGGCATAATAGTCTTTGTATAGGGTGCATTTTGCTAAGACGGCGTTTTGTAGCAATTATGTAAGGCTCAGTAACGCAATGAGTTCTTAACCAATGGCTAACAAGCTCATGATAACCAGAATCATGAGCAAGGACATGAGCCTTAGCTAGCTTCCATAGCCAAGCACCCGTAGCATCCCAACATGGTGTGTATACATGTTTCCACTGTGGTTTCCCGTTGTTTGGTGGGCGAGTTAACTCAATGACTAGTGGTCTTAGTGTTCCTTTAGATGTAAGGAACATTAAAGTCCTCGAACCATAGAGAGTTGTTCCTTCAAGCTCTCTTACTTTATTCACATAAGGTAAGAGAAGATCATGATAATCTAACAAGAATAACTTCTTTTGTTCTAATGCCTGAAATGTTAGTCACAAGATTAAGTAAACTTTTCATAATGAAAGTAAAAGTACGTATTTTGCTTTTGCATTACCTCATCAAGAGTGATGAGACCTCCAATCTCTTGCTCAATAATTTCTTTGGTAATTGCTGATTCGACTGGTCCATAAACTTTAGGGTCTAGTTTGCTCATCAATGGCCATTCCTACATGTTTATATCACAACTTTAGCTTACAAGTGGTTCAATTATTTTTCAAGAAACATTACTATATAGCTACTTAATCAATGGCTTAATGCAGGAAGTCAACAAGAACATACCGTGACCAACTTTATGCTATATGGATTAACACCAGCAAGTGTTTGTCGACAAAATTCCTCATCGTGAAACCAAGAAAATGAATCCCCTATGATTAAAACCATCAACAAGCCACATAAAAAAAGATAAAGAAAAAATATGAAAACAGTTGGATTAGATTTCTTGCTTACTTTCCATGGTTCGAGGAGTCTCAAATTGGAGTGCGTTCTGGGTACTATCGGCAACACTTTTGACAAGTCTTGGTAAACAACTGAGAAATCCATTTTCCATAGCAATGTCATCAACATCTTCATCATAAAGTAAATGAATATCCTTGAATGAAGAAAATCCCTTGTTGGGGTCCGTTAATATGGAATCTAGCGTTGGAACAACTGCATGAAGCACAGAGTACAATGTTCTCGCACCAAATGATGCCTCCTTTATCTCTGAAAAATCTTCATCTCTCGGCACATAAGAAGGGAGTGTTGTTCTCGACTCCGACCAGGGTTCTACAATTCCACAAAATCCTTAATTTCAAGATGGTTTGAGTATGTAGACAGTAGAACTATGATCCTAACCATGTCACGAAATTGGACAAAAAAAGTGGATTTTAAACTCGAAATTGATGGAAATTCGCTTATCTAGCTAGTGCTAAAATGATAATAAAAACGACGACTGCTAGTGATTATGATTGGCATTTTAGAGAAGTTAATGATTTTATCAATTTTGAATTTCTTAATCTCTCATTTTTGTAGAGGTAACAAGTAATTACAATATTATACAACTCTTGTTTTATAACGAATAGGTACACCGTACACCATGTTCGTACACCATGTTCTTGAGTTTTTAGATTGACGAAAAGAAAAAAAAAGTTAATTATGTCGAAAAGAAATGTAGTGTTAGGTACTCAAATTAGAAGGAAAATAAGTATGAAATGACGTTTTTATATAAAGAAATCATTTTTTTTGGCATAATAATCCTTTTGGCCGAAAAATGGACAAATGGTTTTGAAAGGAAAATTTGTTAAATTTGTTCTTTGTAATCTCTCAAAATATTTCATTTTTCCTTCATAAATGAAACCGATAACACATTTATCGTTATTTATACTTTTCTTTCCTTCCTTAAAAAACATTCGAGAACAACGCGATAATACAAAACATGAACCAAAATAATGGAAAGCATATGAGATGTTTGTACCTGTGGAGGTCATTTTCCGACCTGTACGACAACGTCTAGGGTAAGGATACTTCTCGCCACCAAGAACGGATCGACCCAAATCTGAGCTAGTATCCGGATCACCGAGATCATCATAGATGTCGTAATCGTAGATCCTTTCAAATGATTTGCGCTCTCCTTCACCATTGCCCCGAAGAGACAAGAGATCTTTCTCCCTTAAAGACTTTAGCGCATCAGGTGTTTCTGAAGGTAGATACGACTGCTTCACGAAATCGACACATATTGGTTAGTACTCGACTCGTGAAAAATTATTCCTCGGTGAAACAATTTATACCAATTTTAGGAAAAGTGTTCATTGCAAATGTCGAGTAAATTTATAACAAAATCTATGATTTTGATACTTGTTGAGACTTAGGTCCACCAAAGTTTCCATACTAAAATTTGGGTACTTCTTTTTCTTGAACGATAAGGGTTGGAAACTTGGAATTAGTCTCTAGACTATTGTCTAAGTACTCATTTATTCATTTTCTTTGAGTAAATTACACGATTCGTCCCTCGTCCGAAGGCTAAAATACACGTTTAGTTCCTATTTTCAAAAATTAACTCGGATCATCCCTCATATGTTTAAAACTTACATGTTTTGTCCCTAGCTAACCTAAAATGACTATTCTGCCCTTCGACATTTATTTTTTGATTTCTTTTTAGTTTGTTTATTACTTTTAATATAAAAAAAATTAAAAAAAGAAATATGGACCCACACCACATCGTTCCACCTTCAACCTAGGTCCGTGTATCTCATCTGTTCCACCAAATTCCAAAACCCCATTTATGAACCCTAAAGAGCACCGCCACACTCCGATTAACATCGCCGACGACACTATCGAGCACCGGAGGACACAAATCGCCACCGAAAACCCTTATTTTCGGAGCAACCGTCATACAATCCATGTGAATTTGAAACCCAAACCATCACCCCAAGATCTACCTGTAAATCTGGAGTACACCCCAACTTCGAAGCAACTTTCTTACCTCTCTTCTATCGTCGGTTTTCTTCTCCGCCTTGTCTTATTGAGTCGGTCACTAGCGGATTTCGAAGTTCAGATTCTAGACAATGGGTTTGGATTCGGTGTTTCAAAAATCAGGTTTGGGAAGTTGGAATTTCAAAAATCAAGTCACAGGTAGATTTCGACGTTGGGATTTCATTTCATCACATTCACCTCCACTGGAAACCACCTCTCACCCTCTTCTTTTATTCTTTGAATCTAAAGTTCTTGTGTTCAATTTCTTTTTTTGATCTCATTTGTATGTACCTTAAGTCTGGGTTTTGATTCTGAAAGTGAAACTAAAAAGTTATTGCTGGATAAGATGAGCACCAGATTCTGGCGAAGATGCTCTAGAACGACGACCACCACCATTTGTAGGATTTTGATTTCGATTTCAATTTCTGAAATCATTTTCGATTTCGTTTTCTGGAACTAATTGTAGGTTTCTTTTTAACTTTGGTTTGGTTTGGTGCTCATTACAGGTGGTTGCTAGAGGTGGTTCCCGGAGCTGAGAGAGAGAGAGAGAGAGAGAGAGAGAGAGAGAGAGAGAGAAGAATGTTGAAGGTAAAGGGTGGTGGGTTTTATTGGAAAACAAATTTGTCTTGGTGTATGTTTGTGTTTGTATGGCGTGTTTAAAAAGGAGGAAGGAGTAGTCTTTGATGGTTGGGATTTAACCACCGGAGATGAGAGTGGTGTCGGAAAGGTGGCTGGTGGTGGTGTCGGGGAAGGTATTTGGTGAAGAAGGGGGTGGAAGGGAAGGGGATAGGGGAGTGTGATAGGTGGTGGGTCCCACTAAACTATAAATCATAATATTTTAGTTTTTTTTTCTAATTTATAAATAGTAAATAAATATTAAAAAACTGAAAAAAAATAGAAAAGGGCAATATAGTCATTTTATGTAAGTGAAGGACGAAGCGTACAACTTTTAATTATATGCGAGACCGTCCGAGTTAATTTTTGAAAAATAAGGACTAAATGTGCAATTTGACACTTCGACCAGGGGCGAATCGTGTAATTTTCTCTTTTTTTTTTCTTGTTAAGGGTTTTCAATTTTTTTATCAGGTGTACATTATATTATTTTGATACCCTATAATATGTTTCTTAAAACCCTCGATTCTTTTTGGCCATTATTATTTTTTTTGGCGTTCCAATATTTTATAAAACTTTTTTTTTGTTTTTTGTTTTTTTTTTTTTTTTTTTTTTGTTTTTTTTTTTTTTACCTTTTACCTTTTTGTCTTTTATTCGTTTTTGAACTGCTTCATCTTTACAAAACTTTGTTTTACATATTTTCTTACACTTCCTTTTACGATTTCATATTTTTATTTCATTATATATATATATATATATATATATATATATATATATATATATATATATTCACATATTTTTACATGTTTTTTTTTTACAATTTGTTATTTTAAATTTATTTTTATTTCTATTTTCCATAACTTCATTTGGCGGTGACATAACATTTTAAAATCAAAGTGATCGTATTCGTAGGTGTTGTGGCAATGTGCATAATCATGATTAAATTTTAATACAACAAGTTAAAAAAGTAAGAAAAATAAATAGAGTTGTAAAATTAAATCGTTAAAAACATGTCGACTAAATTAATAAAATGAAGAGTAAGTTACAGTTTTGGTCCCTATGGTTTTGTCAGATTCGTATTTTCAGTCTAACCTTTTAAAATTTGACAAGATACATCCATACAGTTGAAATAAATTTCACTATACATCTTTAGTTCATTTAAAAAAAACATTTTACGATTACTTTTATATTTTTGTTTTTCTTTTTTAGACTTACCAAACCACAGGGACCAAAACTGTAAATTACTCTATAATATAATTGTAAAAACAAATTATATAAAATATATATAAAAAGTAAAAAGATAAAGTTCTAAAAACAAACTGTAAAAACATCTAAAAACAAATTAAAAAAACGAAGTTATAAAAAAACATGTGAAAAAACAAAACATAGTTAAAGGACCTAAGAAATCTAAAATAATTAAAAAACCATAGAAAAAAAGAGTTGTAAAATTATACGATTCAGATAAACAAGGCAAATATCCTTAGTAATTAATCTTAAAAATAAGTTTAGCAACCAAGGTCATCTCCAACCCACCCCCAAACTCTATTTCTTCCCCCATTTTTGCTCCCATTCTTCTCCAACCCTACCCTAATTTCACCTCGAGATATGAATAGTATTCCCCCATATAAGGGGGAATACTATTCATATCACCAAAAATAAATGTGAAGTTTGGTTGTCAATTTTAGTTCCTTTTATTTTTATTTTATACATTTCTAGTTTATTTTATCTACTAATTATAATTTAAATGCAATATTTAATATTTATAATATCATGTTATATACTAATTTATATTAATTAATCATAAATATAGAATTTAATTAGTAGAGGGGTGTATTTGACAATATATATAAGTTGTAAAAATTGAATATTCTAGGAATATATTTTTTTGGGGTAAAAAATGAGGTATAAAATGGAGTAGGGTTGGAGATGAAACACTATTTATTCCATTTTTTACTCCATTTATGGGGGAAAAAATGGAAATGGGTAGGAGATGGTGTAAAGATAGTATTTATAAAACAATTTTAACCTTACCCTTTTTCTAATTAGCGATTAGATCATTTTCAATGATTAACATCTAAAATACGTAACTCGTTACATCATATTTCTATTAATATTTAATCAACAAAAAAACTTTCTTATAAACATTTTCAAACATCTTTTCTAAATTAACTTATTTATCTTTTATCCATCTTAAATATTTTTAGTAAGTCCATTCATACAATTTATTATTATTCATATAATTATTATTTTTTAAACATGTCATATTTTTCTGAAAATAAAAGCAGTTGACATTAAATAAAATATGGTTGTGTTTTGACACGAAACTTTTTGAATGTTTGGAAGTTTCTAACTTTTAGCTTTTAACAAAACGCTATAGTTTAAACAAAAAGATTCGTTTGGCAGTGCGAGCGTTTAGTTTTTAGTATAAATAAAACGCTCAAAATCTAAAAACTATTTCATGTAACGTTTAACAAAATGCTACTGAGATTTTGAAATCAATTTCCATAATTACACTTAAAAATATATTTATATATTTATTTATTTTTAATCAGTTGTCCTTTTACGTAATTTTATATATTTTAAAAGCTTACAGCTATTTTTGCGAAATACTCATATAACAAATAAAAGCTACAGGTTCCCGCTACCAGCTACCGCTACACGTTATCAGCTATCCGCTACCCGTTTCCAGTTAACAACTACTTTTGCTAAACATGCCCTAAATATGATACATATTTGAGAAAAAGTTTTAAACTTACGGTCTATTTTGCTTTTAAAATAATCGATAATATTTTTATTTATAATGTTTTAACAATCTATATATATATATATATATATATATATATATATATATATATATATATATATATATATATATATATATATATTTAATTTTGTTTTGTATATTAATTGAATTAGATCACTATAAAAAAATAAAGATTTAAATATTTAATATCTAAATATAACTAGTATATGATATGAAATGTTAAAGATAAATTAAATATCATTTTATTTTTTGTTCTTAATTTTCTTCCTATCTATTTAAGATAATTACAAGTTTACATATCTAATATTTTTATCAAATTTAAATTAAACCGAGATAATTACAAGTTTACATATCTAATATTTTAATCAAATTTAAATTAAACTGAATGACTTTTGCTAGTTGCTATCATCTTAAAAATCCTTTTATACGCATTAAAGTTTTATTCTATCATCAGTTTTATTCTGCCAACCACTCTTTCATGTTGTCGTTTGCTAATACTCGAATTCTTTTAACTAATTTTTGTAGATTCAAACAGAAGAAATAGAAGAACATGTATTTTTCAAATTAGAACTAACCTTATTGGTGAAAAATATTCTTTTATCAGGGTTATCGTGCTTGGAGTGAATCCATGACTCACAAGTAAAAGTGATTTCGTCATCACCAAGAACAACATTCTTGAGATACATCTCGCTATGATGTTTATTCTCTATCAACACTGCGCCTATCTTCCCAAATTCTTGAGGAACCTCAAACATGCACTCATATCTGTATAATTTTCCATCATCGTCCAATCCAATGTAACTTGCATATGCCTTTACCGTCTCTTTCTCTTTACCCGATGCTTCATATAATTATTATGAAAATGAACTTAATAAAAACATATCAATCAATATTAATGCTATTCTATCAATTTAAAAATTGATCATATACTAATTTTAATAGTTAACTAATTTTAAGAAAGAGCTTGTAGCCTATAACCATGAGGAGTTAACTGAAATGAAAGAAAGGTGACTATAAGCCAAATATTGAGAGTTTTATTTAGTAAATAAGATTATTTGAAGATCAAGTAAATTCCAAAGTTAACTATAAAAGTTTTGAAAGATGATCAATGGATTTAATGTTAATTGGAGTATCTTTAATACATAAATCTTTGTAAAGATTTATTTGTTCAGTAAACTTTTCATTATCAAATTGATAAAGAAAAATATCGCATTGCATATAAATTTCACAAAGTTTATTTATTTATTTTTTATTATTTTTTTATATATATAGAATAATTTAAAAAATTAAAAGCTTTTGTTTAAAAACTTTTTGATAAAAGATCATCAATTTTTAAATGACCTATTCAAAGAAATGTTTTAATTTTATTTTATTTTAATTTTATTTTTTTCAAAAAAACTTGTATTAGAGATGATATTAGTTTTAGTTTATTATTCAGCAATTGTTAATAGCACCATTCAATTTAATAAGTACAAAACGACGTGACACGAATAGGACATAAAGGCTGATAAAGTTTGATTTAAAATAATATATTAAATTAATATAAAAATTAATTTATTATCGTTTTCTAGATTCTTTACTTTTAGCTTTTATTTTTTTTTTTAAAAAAACTTTTAATTATTATTTCTCAAAATAGAAGTTCATGTATATTATTCTATTATTTATAGTAGTTAATTGTTTATTATTTACAGTATACTGATTTATATAATTATCATAATTGTTACTATCTTCATATTTATTTATTTTATCATAAACTTTTGTTTTATATTTATTAACTATAGTTTTTTTATATTGAAAGATTTAACATAAAATAACATTATAAAATATAAATAATAAAATATTAATATATTTAATCAACAAAGAAAATGTTCTAGCAGATGATATTAAATTTTAACATAAAATAAAAAAATATATAAAACTTTAAGTTATAAAATAAACGCAAAATATATAGATGAAAAATAAAGTTTGTTAATAAATATCATACATGTGTATCATTGCTGCTATAGGTTAATAAAACTTTAAAACGTAAGTTTTTATATTAAATAATTCAGAATATATATACATTATAAAGGTTATTATAAAAATACAAAAGGTTATTAATAAAAAATAAGTTTTAACCCGAATATAGTTTTTATTTTAAAAAGGGTTGTAAGTAGAAAAAAATTATATAAATAAAGTATATTTAACAATATATACTTAATACAAATTAAATAATGTACAAATATAGTTAAATATACATTATTTAAATAAAATAAATAAAATAAAAAATTGATTTTTTTTCAATATAATGTGGATTTGTCATCTTTAAAAATTAATGTAATTTACCAAAACCAAAATGATTTTTAATTCTCGTACGAGGGTGTCAATAAGCAATAGAAGGTGATGAATGTACATTTTTGCACAGATAAATATCATATCTATATCTATAGTTTTATTATCGATATGAATGAGAGAACTCATAGTGAAATCTTGTAAAATAATTATATAAACATTTATGTGCTTGCATATATAAATCCTAAGCGTTTTAAACACCGAACTATAGAATATCTGGTACTAATGTTCTTAAAACAACAAAAATATGGTATTTATGGTAGTGTTCCCCAATGTTTTTTTTTATGGAAAATTAGTTAAACAAATAAAATATCATGCTGTAAAATATTTTAAGATGCACATAATTATCCGCTGAGGTTAATTTATGTGTTCCTTATATACCCCGACTTATGTATGAGGGCAAAATCATAAAGATGTCAGCTTTGGTTACTTTTATATCCACCTTGAGAACATGAAAGTTAATTAACTGTCGTTTTCATCATGTATTTGATTTCCAAATGAAAGGGATTTGATCCTTTAGAATCTATCAAATTTTATATCTGATATATTTCACCGTTGTAAGAGGATTCAAATTCATAGCTTCTTTTTTATTGAAGAACAACGTAGCTTCATTAATTATATATGTATTAAAATTAACAATTTTCAGTTAAATGATATATTCAAATGAAGAAAAAATATGTATATATAAATCAAAGCTTAAAAATTACTTAATTTTTGTTATAGAGTTTTATCTCATCTATGCCGATCAAAAAACGTGACTAATTATGATTCTTTAAAATTTCAGTTCATTCATATTTAAATTTTCTATTTCAAATTCATCTTATAAACCAAACGTCAGTAAAACAATTTTCTAATATCTTTTTCTTGAAAAAACTCGAGAATACAATGTTTTATTTATTAACATGTTAGAGGTGGTACATCCTCTTTCTTGCAAGTTTAATTTCACTAAATATATTTACTTATAACAAATTTTAAACACTATTAGTTTACATGCATGGCCCGATATGACGGATTTTGAATTTGTATCCATTAACTGAATTGTTTGGTTGCTAATTGACATAATTCAATTCTACAGGAATCATCTAAATTGCATGTTTTAAGGATTTCAGTATCTATAGAAAAGAGAGGGAGGAATTCAATTACATTATTTAGTTTTTTTATAAAAATATAAAAATAGCTTCACTATATATAACAGATTCAGTTTGTTCAAAAAAAGGTTTACAATCCAAACGCATCCTTGGTTTGAATTATAGTATTTTTTTTTTTAATTTACAACTTAATAGATGACAAAAAGTATATTGTAAATAATAATAATTCTAATATGATACTTACAATCAAGATTAGCAGCAACAAGCTCCAACAAGAATGATCGTTCTAAATGATCTTTAACACCATCAACCACATGCTTTATAAGACCCACAGTCACGTTGGCCAGTGAGTCACTAATGGTGGGTTGAAAAGTGATGACAGCTTTCATCGTCATGGACTTGCCAACTGAAGGGGAGTATTTAGCTTTTATGTTACTACAACTGTAGTTAATTCGAGTATTGCTGTGTTTCTTTGCTAGGAATGGTTGCCGGAGAACTGCAGGGGAGTAGGTGGAGCGCTTGATGATGGACGAGTTACCTAGCAATGGTAGGTTAAAGAAATGTGATCGATGGATTTGATCTCTCAGCATTATGTTTTGTCTTTATTTGGAATTTTAGCTAAGGGTTGTAGATTTTCCAAATGTGACACCCATATTTATAGGGATTTTGGTGCAACTAATTTTTGCATGTTGAACATTATTAGTCTTTTGATTCAACTCCTTCGAATTTCGTAATATGTTTATTTCCGATATTAAGTTGATTGTTTAAATATCGATATGAATTAACACTATATAGGCTGAAAGCTAAAAGCTACCAAAGTAAAAGTATACTTGTCAAACGCTTTTAATTATGCGATGTAAAGAAGTATACTTCATTCTCAAACGCTTTTAATTATGCGATGTCAAATTTTTTCTCTTGTCAAACTCTTATATAAAATTAGTTTCATGAAATGCACATATAAATACTACATAGCAAGAAAGGATGAAAAATTATTTAACTCATTATCTTTATAAAAATCATAATTTTGCTCTTAATAAACATGTATTTGATACTACTCATCATAGTGCTTACGAACACTTCACTTCACTTCTACTAGCTGAGTAGACATTTAATAATCAATTCTAGTAAACAATTATACCGTTTATTAACACCTTAAATCATTCCAAAACCTCTTTTATAGTACTAGCTATCTTATTTATGTTATTTTCTACCATTCAAAAAATACTACATAAGAAAGACAAAATAATTAACCATCAACTTCTTACATAGCATCCTAGCCTACCATCAATGTCCCACATAAAGTCATGTGACTACGATATCCACATAGGACACCCTTACATATCCAAAATTCTTGGAATCTCGATGTAACACCCGACTTCTTAACACAAAGCACACTAAAAATTTCAACTTTAAAGTACAAAAACAGTATACAATGATTCTAAACAGCTAGATACAAGTATTTGCCATTTAGGATTTCAACGGCGATCCTAACCTGCGTTACTAACTTTATACTTCTCTACCATCTACTTGAAACTGAATGAAACACATTAACAAAAGGTAAGCAACAAAGAGCTTAATGAACAACCTAAGCAATAAGATATAAAATAGTTACATAACTAGTTATATTAACACATTGACAGTTCCATACAGTCTCCAAGTTCCCTTTCACCATAGCTACTATAATTGTAATCGCCCATCCAGTAATACTATGTCCATTAAAAAATATCACCATAGTCAACATCCGACAAGTGATGCCACGACTACCACATATTAATGGGTTTTCTATGCATCTTTACACTAGATTTAGGTAACAGAAGCATTCAAATACCTAAGTGTACATGTACCATGGAACTAGGTTTTACTATTATAGCAACGAACTTTGAAAAACTATGAAAACAAACTAACAAAAAGAATAGAATACCAACTTTTCAAGTATAATCGTATATACTTGTATTCCACTTGAAGATCTCAAACTCTTAGTTACTTCTGGAAGATCTAGCACCCAAAGTAGAATGTCTCTAATGATTCACATCTAAAAGACTAAAAACCCTAAAATATTTAGGAAGGAGGAGAAAGGTTGGTGAGATCCGAAATTCCCAACCTTATGAGTGGTTTAATCGATTTTTCTAAAGGCCAGAGGGGTACTTATATAGCTATGATAACTTGCAGATAAACCCTAATTTGAATCAATTAAGTATTCAGATTTAATCCTGATTCAAATCATTACCTTATTTGTTACCTAGATTGATTCTGGAAGGCTCCAAGAGCTCCTAAAACCGTCCACCCCATGAGGACTTATAGACTGTTACTATTGAACAATTAACATTTAATCTTTGCACCTTTGATCAATTTCTCATTATTTCTAATTAACTCAAAATTAATTCCAAATCAATTAGAATAAATTCTCAATTAATTCTAGCTAGTTTCTAATTACTTTATTAATTTGTAATAAATAAATTAACTACTTTTCTCACTCTCTTAAATCGTTTCTAGCTATTTTATCTCTTGAGGGCAACCCAAAAAGGAATTTCTTATTATTCTCAAAGGTATACCAATTAGTTATGACATTTAGACACCTATTTCCAACACACATATCAAAACAATCCCCATCCGACTAGTGATACTACAACCACCACATCTATCACAATAGTAAACATCAGAGTAGTGATACTACGATCACCAAATTTATCACAACAATCAATATCCAACTAGTAATACCATAATGACTACATCTACCACAACTGGTAACCTTCGAATAGTGATACGACAATTGCCATATTTATTAGTCTCAATAAACAATGTATTGCATTCTCACTTGGTACTCGTCTTACAGTTCATCTATATGCCACGAATAATAATGTGTATGGCTAACATTGAACCAAATATATATTCATAGCCACAATATAGGGAGATGCCCCCAACAGATCTCTTAATAGATATATATTACCATTTGTATTGGATACCCTAAGGATATATCATCCATCCATTTCTTATCCTATCTATGATATTCATCAAATTTTTGGTTATTACTAAACTTGAACATCAAAAATTCAAGTGTGGACACAAATTCATTCTAGATTTAATAATAGAATTAAGTCGTGACTTAGTAGATACCTCAGAATGATTAGAAGCAACTTAGTATATAATTAGCAATCACATGAATATGTGTATACATCAACTTTTTATAGAGTGCCAAAATCTAAACATTAGGACATTTTACATAATAGAATTAATCAAGTTGCAAGTTTAAGATAAAAAGAAATACCTTTAATACTTTATTAAATTAATTAAGTATTTAACTAGTTCATAGAAATTAAGTAACTCATTATATATTCTATTCAAATGTAACTTCCTAAAAATACTGGTAAAAATTTTCATTTTCAAACCACAAAACCCTAAAATAATTTGTTCAAAAACCATCCAAAGTTTAATGTATTCTCAAATATAAGAGTAAGTCAAAAATAGATAATGTGGAAATAAACTCTAGGGGATGCGGCACGATCAAGTCAGACTCTTCACTTTGGAACAAGAAGTACCTGAAACATTTGAAACTAAAATTGTAAGAACAAAACTTAGTGATTCCCCCAAAATACCATATGCCATACATATTAGCGGGGCCTAGTCATGGGGTGTATTTCAACCCTACGTGAATGCTATGATCCAACCATAGTCTTCTAATCACTTTGTAACATTCCAAAAATCATAAAAAATTAAAATTTTCAAAAACAGCCATTATCCATAATTATTTACAAGAAAAGCCATTGTTTCAAAAATAAAATCATATTAGAGTGTCCTAAAAGTTAGTATTATGAAAATAGGAATATGTGCATGATCAAAGCTTCGCTTTCCCGTGATCTTCTAAAGTACCTGAAATAATAAACTGAAACTGTAAGCCAAAACTTAGTGAGTTCCCCCAAAGTACCATCACACAATATAACAAATAAAACATGCAAATATGAGCCTTCAGCCTGACTAGACCGCCTCGCAGGGCCTACAGCCTATCTGGACCGCTCTACGGGACTTCGGCCTAACTGGATCGGCTCGCAGGGCCTACAGCCTATCCAAACCGCCCCGGGTGTCTTGGCCTTTAGCATAAAGCAGGACCGCCTCAACCCAACTAGAATATGTCGACCTATGTAACAAAAAAACATAAACACAGACCCAACAAATACAAATACCCATATATATCTGCTAATTAATCATATACTAGCATAACACTATCCTATAATCAGGATACATAATCTAGTAGGCCGCATTGGTGCCTTCAACCCATGAGTACAGTGAGGAAAACTCACCTCTCAGTCCGAACACAGGCTGAACAAATCTCTGCTCTAAATACCGGCTCTACCTGACACCTATTAATCAAAATATTGCCCAAACTAAAATTAATGTCAACCCAGCAGAGTCGACCCAGCAGAGTCGACCCGACCTCATACGTAGGGCGTACTCATATGTACACGGGGCGTACCCCGCTTGACCGAGGAGTCGCGATATAGACTGCGCACGCGCAACGTACTATTTGGTACGCCCAACGTACGTACCTGGTCAGCAACCCTTCTCAAAAGGGGTTAGTGCATTAAGTCTTTTCGTCCAGAACCATATCTATACACAAGATAACATTATAAGTCATAAAGTTTCCAACTTTATGACTTTGCATGGTTAGAAGTGCTTAATACCAACAAACCCTAACTTCTTAATCCATTAGGACATCCTAGCACATGCATGGGGAAGAACTAAGAGCCAAGATCACATTTTTATGCTTCTAGACATCTAAAAATGTCTGTAAGGACAACTTATATGGGCTAGAGCATGCCATATTCATAAAGGTCAAGACTTGGGACCAAAATGCTCCATAAATTAAGACTAAGAAGATCTACAGAAATTCAAGACAAGTTCAAGACTTTATACCTCCAAATGATGACAAAAGATGATGCTATTCTGGATCTAAAGAGTCCCCCTCCTCCAAGGTTTTCATTTCTTCTTCCTTTCTCCTTCAAGGCTACCAAAACACACACAAAAAGCTTGTGACAACCCGAAATTTATTCCGTCACTGTAACCCATTCTGTTAATAAAGTTTATTTTATTATTAAAGTTTTCCGTTAACTTTTAAGTTAAATAATTCATTTAGGGTTATTGTCATAATTTCCTACGTGTCGGAAAACAATAAATCACATGAAATACCCTCGAATTCTTTCGGAAAAGTTTCTAGTTCACGACTAAGTCGGGTTACGGCCATTTAATCGGGTACAATCTTAAACTTCGTTTGATGTCGGGATTGGGTGGGTCCCCACCTAGCCGTGAACTCAACCCCATATAAGGGTTGAGTGGTCTCCATTTGAACCTTTTTCACCCACCTTGGAACTTTCTCTCTCTACTCTCTCTCTAAAAATTGGGTTTTGATCAAGAATCACCTCATTCAAGCTCCAAAATCGTAAGTAATCCTTCCTAGCTTGTTGTTCAGCTTGGTATGCATGCAAATTCGTGATTGAATCATTCAAAAGCCCCAAAAACTTGTGTTTACGGTTTGGGAACACCTCCCAAAACCGTAAACTCCCATAAGGGGGTTTTGAAGCCCCAAAACCCTTTCAAA